GTTTGTTTTGTGAGATTAAGAGTCTCTTATGTTTTGTCTCCCTCCCAATGCCATCTTGTTTCATTTATTCTTTTCCTACCCCCCAAACCCCCCATGTTGCATCTCTACGTCCTCATATTAGGGAGATCATATGATAGTTGTCTTTCTCCAATTGACTTATTTCACTAAGCATAATACCCTCTAGTTCCATCCACATTGTCACAAATGGCAAGATTTCATTTCTTTTGATGGCTGCATAGTATTCCATTGTACATATATACCACCTCTTCTTTATCCATTCATCTGTTGATGGACATCTAGGTTCTTTCCATAGTTTGGCTATTGTGGACATTGCTGCTATAAACATTCGGGTGAACATGCCCCTTTGGATCACTACATTTGTATCTTTAGGGTAAATACCCAGTAGTGCAATTGCTGGGTCATAGGGTAGCTCTATTTTCGACTTTTTGAGGAACCTCCATGCTGTTTTCCAGAGTGGTTGCCCCAGTTGCGTTCCCACCAACAGTGTAAGAGGGTTCCCCTTTCTCCGCATCCTCGCCAGCATCTGTCATTTCCTGACTTGTTAATTTTAGCCATTCTGACTGGTGTGAGGTGGTATCTCATTGTGGTTTTGATTTGTATTTCCCTGATGCCAAGTGATGTGGAGCACTTTTTCATGTGTCTGTTGGCCATCTGGATGTCTTCTTTTCCTGACCATTTCTTTTTTTTTTTTTTAAGATTTTTTATTTATTTATTTGACAGACAGAGATTGCAAGCAGGCAGAAAAGCAGGCAGAGAGAGAGGAGGAAGCAGGCTCCCTGCTGAGCAGAGAGCCCGATGCGGGGCTCGATCCCAGGACCCTGGGATCATGACCTGAGCCGAAGGCAGAGGCTTTAACCCACTGAGCCACCCAGGCGCCCCTCCTGCCCATTTCTTGATGGATGATTTATTTGGGGAGTGTTGAGTTTGAGAAGTTCTTTATAGATGTTGAATACCAGCCCTTTATCTGTATTGACCTTTTCAAATATCTTCTCCCATTTTGTGGGTTGCCTCTTAGTTTTTTTACATTTACTTTGCTGTGCAGAAGCTTTTTATCTTGAAGTCCCAAAAGTTCATTTTTGCTTTTGTTTCCCGTGCCTTTTGAGATGTGTCTTAAAAGAAGTCCCTGTGGCCAAAGTCAAAGATGTTATTGCCTATGTTCTCCTGTAGGATTTTCATGGATTCCTATCTCACATTGAGGTCTTTCATCCATTTTGAGTTTATCTTTGTGTATGGCCTAAAAAAAAATGGGTCCAGTTTCATTCTTCTATATGTGGCTGTCCAATTTTCCCTGCACATTTATTGAAGAGACGGTCTTTTTTCCATTGGCTATTCTTTCCTGATTTGTCAAAGATTAGTTGGCCATAGAGATGAGGGTCCATTTCTGGGGTCTCTATTATGTTCCATTGATCTATGTGTCTGTTTTTGTGCCAATACCATACTGTCTTGATGATTACAGCTTGGTAATATAGTTTGAAGTCAGCCATTGTGATGCCACCAGCTTTGGTTTTCTTTTTCAACATTCCTCTAGTGATTCAGGGTCATTTCAGGTTCCATACAAATTTTAGGATTGTTTGTTCCAGCTCTGTGAAAAAGATCAATGGTATTTTGATAGGGATTGTTTTGAAAGCATAGATTGCTCTGTGCAGCATAGACATCTTAACAATGTTTATTCTTCCAATATATGAGCATGGAATGTTTTTCCATCTTTTTGTGCCCTCCTCAATTTCTTTCATAAGTGTCTCTCTTTAAAAGGCGGCTCACTCATTCAAAATAACAGAGGATAAATGTGTTAAGTGAGGCACGGACTGCATGGAGCACTGGGTGTGGTACAAAAACAATGAATACTGTTATGCTGAAAATAAATTTTAAAAAATAAAAAAATTAAAAAAATGTGTTAAGTAATAAAATGAGAGTTGCTTTACAGCCAGTGAAATTTAGATCTGAGTCCTAGATCAGCCACTTGCCAAATTACATCTATAGTCAAGCTATTTAAGTTCTGTGAGCATCACTGCTTCATATTTTAAAAGCAGTTATAACTTCTGCCCTACAAGAATGCTGGAGAGTGGTATTCTGTTCTTGGGAAGAAGAGACAGCATTTAACATCAGATGGGAGGAAGACACAACTATATAAAACTCCATTTTACAACTGTGCTGTTAAAATAAACTGAGGGTTTGGGAGGGGAGGGGGTGGGGTTGGGTGAACCTGGTGGTGGGTGTTAAGGAGGACACCTATTGCATGGAGCACTGGGTGAGGTGCATAAACAATAAATTTTGGCACACACACACACACACACACACAAAATTAAATTAATTTTTTAAAAAGGAAAAAAAATTTTTTTAAAATTAAACTGTGCAGTTATATTCAAATATTTAACCATCAGAGAGGGGGGAGAGCAAAGCAGGCTCTGTGCAATGTAGATGTTGCTTTTCACAAGAAGGAAAGAAATGCACCAGCCACAGAGTGAGGGGACTGAAGCTGGCCAAAAGTAGGAAACTGGATCTTTCCCGAAAGGCAGTGCTCCAGTGGTGGGCACCAATACAGCAGGTCCCATCTCATTCATTTCACTTCTCAGAAAAAAGCAAAGGTTGCAGAGGAAGCTTTCCAGCTCATGGGAAGAAAAAACAAACCAGTTTCTGGAAAGACTCCTGTTCCTGCCCCAACACAGGCCAGTCAATCCACTTCAGACAAAATGGTGAGTTGAAATCATGAGAAGTTCTTCCTGAGCATCACCCCTCAGCACCAGGACACACTCAGGACTGGTATCTGTAGCCCAAAATGCCAACAAGCAGTTTGTCCCCATGGCTGCCTTGAGCCATCCCAGTCTTTACTCTGACATGGGTGGTCAAAGTGACTTCATTTCTCCTTGTTGCTTTTTTTCTTTTATGATGGCACAAGACCTGAGAAGCAGTGAGGCTAATAGGAGCTATTCTTTTTCTTTTTTTTTTTCCCTTCTTCTTCTTCTATTTTTTTTTTTTTTTTGCTATTCTTTTTTAGCTGTTAACCACATTTAGAAGGCAGGGCTGCAAATGGTAATAATCTCTATTCCTCCAAAACAAAGCCTCCAAAATGGAGTTCTACAAGAATCACAGTGGCCTTTAGAATTACTGAGTGCCTCTGGGGACTAGAGCATATTCTCCCATCACTTCAACAATGGTGGACCCAAAGGAAGAAAAAGGAAATAAGAGCACCCACAAAATTGGGCCCCCTGTTGTTGGATAGATTCAATATAAAGGAGTTGCTAAGAAGGCTCTATATACCCCTTGGAGCAAAGTTTTCTTCTTTGAACTAATGCAAATAGTCAAATAAAATTTGCTCTGGAAAGCAAGTTATTAAGTGCACCATTTTGTTTCTGATTGTATTTAGCTGCTGGAGGAAATTCATTTTAGCTGCCCAGAGGAAAAAACCCGAGGCCATGGGTGAACTCTGAGCAGTTTGGGTCAGCACTCACATTCCTAATTATATGACATTGGCTCTGGATGAAATTAATGTGGTGCTTTCTCCTTTTCAGATTTTTTAAATTTCTGTCATCTCACCCATAGAATCCATGACAGATCTAGGATGTAAGTAGGAAAGATGACATAACCTTCATTTTATAGCAGGGGGAAAACGCTGAATTAAATGATGATTCTCAAGCCCCATAACAAGTCAGAGATAAAGTCAGGAAGGCACATTCGTTCTTTCAACAGATGTTTATTAAGCATCTACTCTTTACCAAGCAGTGAGCTAGGCTCTGGGGAAGCAGCAGTGGACAAACGCTAATCTCCAGGAAGCATTTTAATGAAAAAACAATGGAGAAGCAGGCAATTTTAGTTGTTGAGAGCTACCATGGTGACAGTAAGCCGGACAGAGGGTGACAAGGCTGTGATCATTGTGGACCGATGGCCAAGCAGGCGCTCTCAGAAGTGACATTTCTGCTGAGGCCTGAATAACAAGAAAGAGGGAGAAAGCATTCCAAGGAGGAAGAAGAACAGGGACCAGTCTCAGGCATGTCCAAGGAATGCACTGGCCAATGTGGCCGCATCATGATGAAGAAAGACAGGGTGGGAAGACATGATGTGGGGGCATAGAAGGTAAGCAAGACTAAAAATTTTGAAACAATCGTAATGCTGTATTTTCCATTACCCTACATCATCATGTCTGGCAGTGTGACCTATTGAATCAATAGGTTTAATATTTCAGGAGAAATACTAGAAAAATAAAGTCAGCATTCAAATTTTACTGTAAAATTAGATGAAAAGATAGGTATAACCAGATAATTGTCAGGAGAGTCAAGATTTCTGGAGAAGATTTTTTTTTTTAAATCTGAAAGTTCCCTTTACATAGCAAGAGGCAAGTCTGGTCCTTTGTCAGAGATAGAACTCTGAGTGAAGAGGCTCAAATCTGATACAAGGGAAGTTCCCATTTAACCCTAGAGAGGAAATGGAGCCACTTCCGAGGCAGGGAGGCCGGAGGATAGGAGAAAGGAAGTAGAAGAGGAAGTAGTCAGATACGTAGTATCTAGTTCCATTGCCCCCTTGCAGGAACCATTACCCAAGGCTGGAGATGTGATAATTAGTACATTGGGGAGAATCCCAAACACAGAAGTTTGTTCCTCACTTTCCTGGTCACAAACTGAAAAGTTTTCAAACTAAAATGGTATTTGAAATGCAAATGCAATCTCAGGTCCCACCCTATCCTCTCCTCCAAGATACTTCCTCAATCTGATCCTATACCTGAATCTCTCCAATGTAGATATCCCCAAGCCACCACTGGTGTCTGGGATCCAGCCACTAAGGTCATGGAACTGATCTGGGAAAATTCAGAGCTAAAAAGGAAGACTTTCAACTAAGATTTCACTTCTCCTGATATCTTGTGGCCTTTGAAAGGCCTCTGAATAGAGAAAGTCAGCAATAGTTAGAAACCATACTGCCTGGATGTATAATAAACATTTCTCCTTGGCATCCCCTCACTTTAATCACCCCTGCTGGTGCATGGGCATTCAGAACCGGCTCCCAGTGCTGGTTCCACAGGCTGGTCCAGGCACACAAGTGTTGCAGGGTGCGCAGCTTGGACGAGGTGTGCAGGGGGTAGTCACACAGGAGGCAGAGGTGGAGCATGGATTGCAAGGGAGTCTGTTGAAAGATAGAAAAGGTGAACAAAGTTAGGGATGGGAAATGAATGATATGTGATGGAGAACAAAGAAGGAGTCTCCACTCCAAAGCTACAAGACAGGGACCCAGCAGAAGCCCTGGCCATTGACCCCTACTGTGCACCCCTAGGACTAGACTGAGTGATCTTAAAATGCCTTCCAGAATGAGGTTTTCTATATGAGAATCAGGTTCTATCCTACAGGCTAGAAAATACAAAGAAGGGTTGACAAGAGAGCAAAAGCAAGTCTTGCTGGGGACTATACTCAAATCTCCTGCTGGAAGTGTAGCCACATGTCTACATAGCTGCTCTCCCCAGTCAGTGGCTAAGCCAAGCAGCCCCATTGAAGACCTGGCAATGGACAGTGGACAGTCAATCCCTTCACATTCTCTCAACAATGCACAGCGTGAGCAGTGGACAGAGCTATGGGTCACTCGGCAGAAGCATAGACTGCCTTCTTCTTTGTAGACAACACTGCTATTACCCTGAGAATCTCATGAGAATTGAGCAAATGATATGTCCAAGTGCCTAGATCACACATACTTGCAATCCTCGCTCTCCAGAAGTTTCCGGTACGTGGCAATCTCGCACTCCAGCCGGGCCTTGACGTCCAGCAGCACCTGGTATTCCTGGTTCTGCCGCTCCAGGTCACCCCGAATCTCAGACAGCTGCTCCTCCACGTTGCTGATCAGCACCTGCATCTGGGCCAGCTCGGTACCAAAGCGGGCATCAGCTTCACACAGGGAGTTCTGCAGACAGTCTTTCTGTAATGGGAAATAATGGGGTAAGAGACCGAGATGTCCCAAAATTCAGCAGTGAAAATCATGGCCAATTTCACCATGGGGCACATTCCAAGAGGTGACAGGACATTCCCACAACTCTAGAGGAATCACCGCCAACATCACCATGACTTTTCACAAAAAAATCTAGCTTGAGGAACAGTGTCCTGGTCATCCCTGGATTCCCAATACCTGACAATGTAGAAACCCAGTGAAAACTTGTGGAATGAATGAGTGCCTGAACCTCCACATGTTATTCTAAAGAAAGTGGAGTTGACTTGTAAAAGGAACCGCTTTTCAGGATCAAACTAACCTTGATAGCAACACACCTTCCCCAAGGACAGAGGGACCCAGACCCTGAGTTCTGCCTGTCAGTGGAACTGATGAGTGGGACTCCTGAGAGATGCTGCTAGCAGGCCATGGTCTGTGGCACTAGCAACATGGTGAGGGTGTAGAACCATACCAGGCTGTGCTGGGCCTGAAGCTCCACCTCCAGGGCGTTCACCGTGCGTCTC